AATTTTCCATTGTTGTCAAAATCACATCGCATTCAAGGATGGAACCAAGAGTTTGGGGCCCCGATTCCGCTACAGGAGGAAGTGGAAAATTGCTCACAGGAAAAACCACCTCTCACTCTGGTTGAGGAGGTGCCTTTGTGATCTGCACCCACATCTGCCCGGGAGGGTGGCCCGAGATGGGCTGCGCTGAGCGCTGTCCGATGTACGGCTCCCGTCAGTGTGTCCGGTTGTCCCAGCTGACGCAGGTCTGGGTGGCAGACCGGTGGGTCTGCGCCCTGGTCTCTTGGAGCTGCCCTGACAAAGCACCACACATAGCGACGGCTGGAGGCCAGAAGCCTGAGGTCCAGGCGGGGCGGGGCCCTGCTCCCTCCGCAGGCTCCCCCCAGGGTGCGTGCTGCCTCGTCCGGCTCCTGGTGGCCCCGTGTGTTCCTTGGCTCGTGGCCGCGTCCCTCCAGGCTCTTCCTCGGTCGTCCCGTGGCCATCTTCTCTTTGTGTGCGTCTGTGTACAAAATCCCTTCTTCCTATGAGGACCCCAGCCAGTGGGTTAGGACGCACCTCAATTCAGGATGACCTCATCTTAAGTAATTACCTCTGCAGAGACCCCTTTCCAAATAAGGCCACGGCCACGAGTCCGGAGCACCAGGGCCCAGCCATGATTCAACCCACATGGCCGCCGGGCCTGTGGGTCATGCGTTTGGTGGCCCGGCTAACGAGAGCATGAACCCCAGAGGCGGCAGCAGGAACAGGACGTTTTGCCCCCATCCCCAACCAGGCCCAGTGGGGGTGCTCGGAAGCCAGAACTCTGGGAGATGTGAGGACAGAGCTGTGTCTTTAGGTGTAGACCCCAGGGGCCTCGGCCGGCTGTCGGCCGTCAGTTCAGTGGAATTCGGGCCTTGGCCCCCCAGTAATGACAGGCCACCTTCAATCTTCACAAGTTCCTCCTGGTTCCGTCTGTCCTCGTTACCCGAGGATCAAGCAACCCTGCCTCTCCAGAAGGATCTATGAGAGAGAACGTGAGTCAACAGCAGGCATCCCAGAAAGAGGGAGAGTCCCGGCAACCCCACAGGGAGCACCGATATGCACGACTCCTTAAGAGCTAAATCACATCCGCAGGTTTTTAATTGGCGGAGCTCTCACAGACCTTCCGGCTCAGGCAGAGTCCTAACTGGGCTGGTGGCTCTGACTGTCTCCCCCAAGCTGTGCCCCCCAGGGCCAGCCTCTCAGAGCTGCCGCAGCTGCTCAGAGGTCAGGGGTCAAGACGCAGGGCGAGGCCCAGAAGTGACCAGCCCCGAACCCTTACCTGGAGCCACAGGCGGGTTCCACACGAAACTCCTGCTGGGACCAGCAGCACATGACCTACCCCCACAGAAGGCCGGGAGCCCCTGCGCCACGCAGAAGTGGGGTCCCTGGAAGGCAGCATCTGCATGTCTGGAAGCTTCTTGGAGATGCCAGTGCTCCGCCCACCCCACACCTGCAAACCTGCTGCTCTGCGTGGGCCCCTGCTGTCTGTGTCCCAGCCAGGCCCCCAGGACTATACAGCCCCCGTTCCTCCGAGGAGCCCCTGCCCCCCAGGGCCGAGGTAGTGGGGTGGCAGGGGTGCGGCCGGGAGCTCAGGCGCTGCTCACACTCCGGGGCTCACTCACTCACATGGTTTGGGGATGCCGCTTTGGCACTGTCTGGGTTCATTTCTACCCAAATCAGTGCTGGGGCGTCTTCGCGGTGGAGGCGGGAGCTCTGAGGCCAGCCCGGGGGCATAAGGCAGGGCCCCGTCCCGGCGCCCCCACCCTGGACAAGTGTCCTGTTCAAGGTCTGTCAGAGCCTCTTGTTCATGCATGCGTGCTTTTATTGGTTTCGCTGTTCAAACCGCCCCGGGCCTGCTGCCGAGACCGTCTGGTGACGGTGAGCACGGAGGGCGGTGCCTTGCCGGGGACACGCGTGTGGCACGTGGGCTCGTCCACACGTGAGTTACACGGGTGCTGGCCAGTGAGTCAAAGGTACATGTCCAGCGAGGTGACTTTGACAGGAACACAGGAAACCTGGGTTGTGTACTGGCAGGTTGATGGAAACGTGACCAGGGCCTTGCTCCCTGGCGCCTCACCCCACGTCGGTGTTCAGGGTGCTCCCTCTTGACGGGGACATCCCTCTTTCACTGTCTGTAAAAGCACCAAAACCGTGGGAACGCCTTGTGCAAATTTCACGGATTTTTACGGACCGCTGGTGGTCACGTGCTCTCCTGTGTCACAGGCCTCCTGCCTCCCTTCCCCTTGGAATCCGCCGGCCTCCCCGGAGCAGGTGCTCTTGTCTGGGGCCCGGGGACGTGGTGGCATGGGACTGCCGGCCGAGTTCCTGTGTCGGCAGGGCACACGCTGTGTATTGTTGCTACCTAAAAAGTGGACAGAAAGTCAAGATCCGAGCCTAAAGCCAACCAAAATGCACACATTTCGGGAAATTAATAGCGTCTGGAAGGCAAGTGATGACGCCTTGACATCTGAAAGCTCTTCACGGTGGGGGGGGGGGCCACAAACCGGGTCGGGGGGCTCGCCTGAGGCCCCCTCTGCAGCGAGCAGGTGGCGAATGCGGGCTCGCTCCTCATTTTATTTTATTTTTTTTTTAAACTTTTTTTTTCAACGTTTTTTATTTATTTTTGGGACAGAGAGAGACAGAGCATGAACGGGGGAGGGGCAGAGAGAGAGGGAGACACAGAATCGGAAACAGGCTCCGGGCTCCGAGTCGCTCCTCATTTTAGAACCAACCTACAGACCAGTCAGGGAGGGCTGGGTCACGCTCGTCGAACAAAATTAGATGCCATAAGTGACCTCGGACGATGTGGGAGCGATGGCATAGCTATTTCTTTTGGGGGGTTATTCATCGTCTTATTTTTAAATTGTTATTGTTGTCAGAACAACAACATGCAAACGGCCTTCTTGACAAAATTTTCAGCGCATGATAAATACGGGGCTGCTAACGAGGCACAGCTCGTGCCGCGGACCTCTAGCTTATTCGTATACGGTTAGGAGTCTGTATAACTGGAGAAATATGTGTGTAAATGAAACTTAGAGCCGTTGAGCAGAACTTCCGGGAGAATGCTAATTTTTCCTTTAACCCGCTAGGGAGTCGGCAGGCTCTGTCTAAAGTGACGCTTCCAGAAATAGAGCCGAAAGTATTCCTCTTAAGGTCACAAAGGCAACCCTGGCATCACCGAGAATAATGCCACAGCCGGGACCACGGGAGGAGGGCGGGTGGGTGGACTCAGCTCCGTCCCCCCCCGCCCGTGCACCTGCAGGCGTCCGGGGAAAGTGACCATAAGATCCCGCGCATGTGCGGGGACAGAGCGGAGAGCTCAAGCCAGAAAAGTGCTGTTCTTTGCAGAGTGGGGCTGGCGCAGGAAATGGTCTTTCCAGAGCTTTCTACATTGTTTGAATCTTCTGACCTGCGTGCGTCTCACTTTTACAAGTGACTTTGAAAAGTGACGTGAAGAAGCCCAGTGAGTGTTCGGGGCCTGACCCCACAGGCTGGTTCTCTCCCTCTCCTCCAGTCCTAGCCCGGTCCAGCCCTCACCGTGGGCCCACCCCCCCCCCGGGGCCCCCCCCCCTTGGGTCCTCCACCCCCCCACAGCAGCCCCCCCTCCCTTGGGCCTGGCCCTGAGCAGCGACACTGCTGTCCCCTCAGGTTTGGAGGCACATCTGCCTTTGGGAGGTGGCTATTTACAGACTTTTGAAGGTGGAAAATGCGGTGCAGCACAGACATTTAAAAATAGCATGATTGGGGCGCCTGGGTGGCGCAGTCGGTTGAGCGCCCGACTTCGGCTCAGGTCATGATCTCGCGAGGTCTTGCGTGATCTCGCGTGAGTTCGAGCCCCGCGTCGGGCTCTGGGCCGATGGCTCGGAGCCTGGAGCCTGTTTCCGATTCTGTGTCTCCCTCTCTCTCTGCTCCTCGCCCGTTCATGCTCTGTCTCTCTCTGTCCCAAAAATAAATAAACGTTGAAAAAATAAATAAATAAATAAAAATAGCATGATTATATGTATTTTTTTACAACATTAAGCTAAGAAATGGAAACGATTTATGTGTCACATAATTTTTCAATTTTACACCCAATGCGTTCCCTTCCGTCCTACGTGGTTAACCGGTTTATGATGGAGGATTCCGGAAAACGAGGTTCTGTGGCCTGGGGCTCCCCTGCAGGGTGGCAGCGTGGGGAGGGGAGGGGCGGGGCCGGACTGGAGGGCGGTACGGCTTGGATTTCGGTTTGCGCCCCTGGGGGGTCTCGTTGAGTAACAAACCTCAGGGGGGCAGTGGCGCAGAGAAGAGCCCCTTGCCCGAGGTGTGGCCTCGGGGTCCGGCCCTCCCTGGGGTCTGCAATCTGGGCCAAGGCGGGACTGCGCACTAGTCCGCGCAGCTGGGCCGGGACCAGGGTCGCCGCCCCACGGAGAGCCAGGGTGCTGGCCCCGCGCGTGCGGTGGGTGCTGCGCCGGGGTCCGGTTCCCTCGGAGCCGCGTTCCCCTCTGGCAGGAGTGGCCACTTAGAAGAACCTTCCAGAAGAACAAGCCCCTGGCCTGGCCTTCGGTAGCCCACGAGCACGAGCACACAGGCCTGGTGGCCCCGCAGCCCCGCCCAGAGGCCGCGTCTCCCGCCTGGCCCCCCAGGTCAGCTCCATCCCGCTCGGCGCTCGAGGCAGGGTCCTGCGGCGGGTGTCCTGCGAGTCGGGGGCTCTGGGACTCCCAGGAGGCCGCGGGTACTTAACCCAGCTGGCGTCCCACTGTGTGCAGGTCAGAAAGACCCACGACATCAAGGGTCGGCGAGCATTTATTTATTTATTTTTTTAATTTTTAAAGTTAACAGACTTTCCTTGAATTCCGAGCGTCAGGGTCCCTCAGCGAGCAGGGGGTTTGCCGAGTTCGGCCTGAAAGAAAGGGGCCGCCAGCGGAGGCTGGGGGCGGGCGCGGGAGGGCACGGGGGTCCCGGGGCCTGGCTGACCGCCCTCCTTTCCCGTTTCCCGCCAGGCCTCGCCAAGCCCATCGGCCTGGTGGAGGGGCCTGGGGGCCTGGGCCAGGGCGGCATGGCGGCCACCCTGCGTGAGGACAGCCAGGAGACAGAAAGCAAATTCGAGGAATACGGGTACAACGCGCAGCTCAGCGACCGCATCTCCCTGGACAGGACCATCCCGGACTACAGGCCCAAAAAGTGAGTTCGCGGCCCCCCTCCCGGGCACCGCTCCCGCACACCCCGCACCCGCGAGCTGCGGCCCCCGGAGCACGGCGACGTGTGCGCTCGAGGCCCCGCAGGCGGCACGGGGTCGAGACCCGGCACGTGGAGTCGGCCACACCCGCGACCGCGCCGCCTTCTGGTGTCTCTGTCGACACAGACGCGCGCAGGTGTAAGAAAGCCGGCTTGGGCTTGCGTCGCTGCTTGTGGTCCCGTCGCTGCGGTGGGGGCCCCCCTCCCCCACCATCTAAAGGCGTCCACTATTCCCGCCCCCGCCCCCCCAAATCTGTCGCCGGCTGCGGCCTGGCCTTGAGGCCTCTCAGGCTACAAGCGCTGCATCCTGTTTGAATGCTCGTTAGGTGCCTTGGCGGGGACGAAATTGGAACAAAATGCCATATTAAGCGGACGTCATTGCGTGAAACAAGTCCCGCCAGCCTGGCGCCTGGGTCTTGAAAAGGAAAGGCAGGCTCGGCCCGGCTCCTTTCTGGGGTTCCGTCTGCAGAAACGGGGCAGGCGGCCGGGAACCCCGGACTCCCCGGGGAGGTGCCGAGGCCCCGGGCTGGGCCGGGGGTGGGGGAGGGGGTGGTGGTGGTGACGGGCGGGGCCGGGAGTGGGGGTCCTGGCGATGGGCGGGGCCTGGGCCCTGGAGGAAACTCCATGAAGGGGGCGGGGAGCATTTCTGGGCTGTGTCGAGAGGCCCTGGGGTGGGAGGCCGTCCCGGGAAGCCCCGCGAGAGGTGGGAGGGCCGGCGGGCCCGGAGGGAGGAAGCGTGGGCAGGTGCGTGTTGGGCGTGGTTACCGGTGGGGCCCGCTGGCCCGCGTGGTGGGGCAGCGGCGGATTCGGGACGGCGGAGGTGGCCTCCGGGCCGCCCCTCGAGGCCAGGCAGCGGGATCCGACCGCCAGCTCCCCGTCAGTTGCTCCGAGGGTGAGGTGCCCGAGAGCAGGTCTCCCAGGTGAGCTGGCGCTGGGTGTCGGCGTGCGCGTCTGCGCGGGGCTGGCCGGGCGGTTCCCGAAACCCGTGCGTCTGTGGTGCGGCCTGCTCTCTGGAGCCGCACGGTGACAGCTCACTGCCCGGCTCTCCTGCTTGTCTTGTGACTTCGTCCCAGAGAGGCTCCCCCTTCCTGGGTGGCCCCGGAGGGCGGAGGCCTGGAGCGCGCGCTCCCGCGGCCCCAGGCCCAGCCACGGGCGAGAACAGTTTTGTGTTCGAGGGTACCATCGTTTCAGCATGAGTAAGGCCGGCTTTCCTCTTGTGAGATGGAATAACCATTCTTTGTTTGAGTCAAAAATGCAATTAAGTGTAAAACGGGCCAGTTTGAAGAAGCATGCCAAGTGAATGACGCGGGGGACGTCCAGATGTGACCAAGTCACAGACACGGGCTTGAGTGACTCAGGTTTGCGACGTACCCAATCTGTGCTCTGAGAGTGTGGCTGTGGGTGTTTGAGTGTGCACGTGTGTACACGTACGTGTGGGTGTGTGTGTGCACATGCGTGAGTGCGCGTGGTAGTCCTGAGCGCCCCCCAGCGTGCCCCGACCTCTGGAGCAGGACCTAAATAAGTTGCCGCTCAGGCCTCACCCTGCGGCTGGCATCGGGCGCTGTTGTTGGCTCTGAGCTGGGCACCCGCGGTGCCTTTCAGAGACCCCCCCGAAGCCACCCCAGGCTCAGCAACTCGCTGAAGGGACTCACCGCGCTCGGCAAAGCTGTTATACGCCCGATGCGGTTCGTTAAAGGATAGAATGACATCACGGAGAACAGGGCAGGGGCCAGGGGAGCGCTTAATTTTCCCAGCAATGGTGAGTGACCGCACGTATGAAGAATTACAACAGGGGGCTCCTTCGAGCCCTGGTGTCCGGGGTTTTATTGGCCGGCCGACCTCAGTCCCTGTCCCCAGAATTCTGGCCATGCTGTGGCTCAGGGCTCCAGCATAGATCACGCCGCAGCATAGACTATCCCACGTAGGCGACGACGCTCTCGTCAGGCAGGATGTCCCAAGGGCTCAGAAGCCACCTCCCAGGAGCTGGCAAGGGCCAGGCCTTTCCTGTGCACGTGGTAGGAGCGGCCCCCACCTCCCACGTCACCGGTGTGATTCTGCCACTTGCAGCCTCGGGGACTTCGCCACCAGAGACTCTAGGAAACCCGTCCTTGTCTGTGTCGTCATCTGGTGGCAGTTGTGGCCACAAGGGAGCCCATGGGGTCGAGGACACTTACCCCGTCTGCCGTGGCCAGCCCTGGGCTGGGGACAGGCTCTCCTGGTGGTCCTGCTGCATCATCCACCGTCAGAGCAGGACACGTACATGACAGACGGGATAATGTGGGACAGACGCTGTTGTCTGCCTCCCTGGAATCCCGTTGTCTTTCTCTGGGCACCAGCTCCCCCTTCACACAGGGGAACCCGCGGGAAACTTGCTGTTCCAGCTGCTGTTCCAGCTGCGGGGCAGATCACAGGATTTGGGATTAAGGTGATTAGAGCATTGTGTCCACCACCTCAGCGACTGGCTGGGGCGGTCACATGGTCTGGGCCCATCCAATCAGAGTGCACCTTGGAATTACCTCAGGCCATTGGGGAAAAAAATCAGGCCTTTCAGTCAAAGTAAAATTGCAATTATGGGAACTTGGGGAGCTTAGCCGTCTTATTATCATGAAAGGGAGGCTGGGAGTTCCCACAACCCACCCGTGAACCCCGAGGGCAAATGCAGTGCAGGGCTTGGCAGAGCTGGGAGGTGGGGGGGAATCAGGTACCAGTGCTACCGTCGCGGCACCTGGATCCAGCTGTTCCTGAAGCTACCATTGCGATAAATTATACACAAATGAAAAGTTTTCTAGGCTCTGTAGTAAACTAGCGCATACACATATACATTTATAAGTCTTTTGCTTAATCAATTGGAATTTTGTTTCCTGCTTCTTAAAGCAGAAAGGGCTCTCCCTGCTGCGTCTAGCTCATCCCTGCACACCCTTGAGTCCCCAGAACGCTTTGCTCCGGCATCTCACTCTGCTGGGATATGCCTGAGCCGCAGATGCTCCTCTGGGTTTCCCTTTGAGGACTGAGACCCACCGCCCCTCCCTGAGTGGCAGAGACTCCCCCTGTAGGAAGCCTCCGTTTGCCAAAATAAAAACCGACAGGAGCGACCAGCTCCCTGCCAGCCTCACGTCGCAGAAGAAGACGTCAGGGCAAACTCTCAAAGGGCCGCCATTTACAATACGCCTTAGTTGATAGAAACCTGACTTTACAGACACTCCGACTGGAAGGGCACAGCTCCCCGCCTCCCTGAAGTAGACGGTGTGGGTTTCATTTTCTTACATGTTTATCTGTAGCCATTTCTTTCCCAAAAAGAAAGGCGGAGGCTTTGTGATCGGGACACGCACAGACCAGCCCGGTCACGTGTGTGAATGACAAGCCGGAAAGAAGCCCTTTCTGTCCTGCCGGCTCCTGGCCTGTCTGGACGTGCTGCGCCCCCCCCCCTCCAGGGGACAGCGTCGTGGGGGTTACTCGCGTGCAGCCACAGCCCTCATGCACCCGTGGCTTAGGACACGGCCATAGTGTCTAGGGGAGACTCGTGCTCTCGTGCAGCTTGGCGAGCACAGGGCCACTCGTGTCCCTGGGGTTGGTTTAAGAAGGTGCTGCTGGTGCTGCCCTGTGCCAGGGCCTTGAGGACCGGCATTGCCCACGCTCTACAGACAGGAGACCAAGGCAGGAAAGGTCAAGTACCTGCACTGGGCCCGTGGGCCAGAGTTTGCCGAACCCCGTCGTGCGGCGTGCGTTCCCCCCGGGCTCTTACCGTCCCCACAGAGCCCAGTGGGGCACATTGTGTTTTCCAAAGACGGGATCTTCTCGAATCTGCCCCCTCACCCCCCAGGGTGGGATCTGTGTCCCTCTCCCTGAGATTGGCTGGCCGTCCTCTCGAGGAGGGCAGAGGTGAAGAGGGCGGTTTTTGGGGTTTCCACCCCAGCCCAGGTGTGGGCCCGTGAGCTGCCATATAAGCAGTCTGCAGGTCCTGAAGCCCAAACGTGGTCGCTCAGGGCGCCCCGTGGCCAGGCCTGCGAACGCTCAGACAGAGACGTGCCAGCCGGGGCCGGACACGCTGCAGCAGGGGTCGGAGGGAGTCACACACGGACGAGCCCACGGAGGAAGGCCGGGCGGGCTGCTGCAGAGTGCCGAGTTCTGGGTTTGTGAGGCCAGGCGCTGTTTGCGGGAACCTTCCATGTGGCCATGCGTCGGGAGCCACACCTGACGTCCTGTAGGCCCTCACCAAATGTCTACGGACGACCGAGCGAATGAGTACATGAGTGCAATTCAGTCTATGCCCGTTTTAAGCTTTCAGAGTTCGATTCCCTAGATGGCCTTGCGCCCCGTGGGGCCCATCCGTCCAATGAGAAACGGCCTTGCTCTTGGATTCTGACAGGTGCAGCCGCTAGAAACACACGTGGGATGTGGGAGTGTGTGTGCGTGCGCGCGTACGTGTGTCTGCACGTGTGCGTGTGCCTACCCACGTGTGCCTGTGTGTGCACGCGTACACGTGCGTGGTACGTGTGTGTATGTGTTACTGGGTGTACGTTTGTGTGCATGTGTGCCTGTGCATGTGTACATGCATGTGTACGTTAACGCATGTGCAAGTGTGCCTGTGTGTACACGTGTATGCGTGTTAATGTGTGTGCAGGTGTGTGTGTGCACGTGTTATGTGTCGATGTGTGTCCATACATATTTGTGTGCGTCTGTGTGTGCATGCCTGTGCGTTGTGTGCGTGTACCCGTGTGCACATGTGTACATGCACCTGTGTGTTCACACGTGTGCATGTGTGTCTGTGTGTAGGTGTGCGTGCGCATATGTATTTGTGCATACGCGTGCACGTGTCTGCTCGTGCCATGTATGTTGTGTGCATGTGTACCTGTGCATGTGTACACGCATGTGTATGTTAACGCATGTGCAAGTGTGCCTGTGTGTGCACGTGTATGCGTGTTAATGTGTGTGCAGGTGTGCGTGTG